TATATATATATATATATATATATATATATATATATATATATGGGTTGGCTGTTGCTTTTCTTTAGCTTGCAAGAAAGCAGCAAATGCTGCAGAAATAATCTTTTGCTGCTGTTTATCTGAGGTGTGTGTACACCTCGTAGTTGTCTTGTTTATTTATCTCCAGGGAAAACCCTAAACCCTAAACCCTAAACCCTAACGTGGTTACAGGTTGTGCCGCCTTATTTGTTTTCTCTGTCTGTCTCCTTTTGTTCTTCTTGTCTTTTACTTTCTGTCTCTCTTGCTGTCTCTCTCTCTTTCTTTTTTTGTGTCTCTCTTTGTCTTCATTTCTGTATTTGTCTGTCTCTGTTTTATTTTTGCTGTCTCTGTTTGTTTTGTCTCTCTTTCTATTTCTATATCTTTTGCTGTCTCTCTTTGTTGCTCTCTGTCTCTCTTTTATATATATTTTTGTCTCTTTTATTATCGTTCTGTCTCCCTTTCTCTTTTATTTATATTTCTGTCTCTTTATTTCTGTCTCTGTTTGTTTGAAGACACCCAAAGGCCCAGCCAACAGTTTTAAAAGGCATTTCATAGTTTTATTTATTTATTTTTTGTTTTTCTTCTGTCTCCTTTGCTGCGCCTCGAGCACGTGAAGAAGAAAAAGCAAAGCAAACAGACAGAGACAAAAAAAGCAAAACAGACACAAAGGAGACAAACGAGAGAAAGTTAAAGCAGACAAAAGAGACAATAGAAAAGGAGACAGAGACAGACAGACAGGAGACAGAGACAGATAGAGAGGAGAGACAGACAGAGACACAAAAAGACACAAAAATACCGACACTGACACTTCCTACTGCTGCTGCTATTGCTGCTGCTGTTGCTGCAGCTACTTCTGTTGCTGCAGCTGCTGTCTCTGCTACTGCTGCTTCTGCTACTGCTGCCTCCGCTACTGCTGCTGCTGCTGCAGCTTGTGGAGGCCGCTGCTCTTTTATATTTTAAATAAATGTTTTATATTTTGTTTTTATTTCTTGAAAACAAAATATATCTTTTCCTGCTGCCTATACACTCCACTCTCCCCCCATAGTCGGCAACAAACCAAACAAAGCCGGCACAGGAATCACCGTCCTAAGAAAAAAGAAACAGAGACAATAAATATAAAATAAATAAATAAATAAATAAATAAATAAAAGGAGAGGGGCAGATATAAAAAAAGTAAATAAATTAGAAAAACAGAGACGGGGACAAAAAATATAAAATAAATACATAAAACGAGAGAGAAGAAAACCTAAATAAATAAATAAATAAATAAAATAAATGAATAATAAAAAACAAATAAATATACAGGGAAGAAGACAGAGAAAAGGAGACAAAATGAGTTAGTAGAGCTGCATAAAGAAATAAACAAGAATGCGAAGAACACAACAAAAATAAACAAAGATTATTAAACAAAAATAAACAATAAATGGATAAAGGAGGAGACAGTAAAACAGCAGAGAAACAAACAAACAGCAGATGAAGGAGACAGCAGCAACCCTAAAATCATACAAACAAATATACCAGAAGACGAAACAGCAACAAACCAGCAAACTAGGGTTTAGGGTTTAGGGTTTAGGGTTTAGGGTTTAGATGCCTCTACCTGGCTGATGCTGGCGTCGCTTGATTAAAGCGAGCAATCGTGAGGAAGTCTTCTGTGGTGTCTTGAGAGATATATCTGCAAAACAAAATATTATTTAAAAAGAAGTAAAGTAAAAGCTGTCTCTGTCTCTTTTTCTTGCGTGTCTCTGTCTCTGCTGCTGCTCTCCTCTCCTTGCTGTCTCTGTGTCTTTATACTTTCTTCTTCCCTGTCTTTATGCCTTCGGGTTTAGGGTTTAGGGTTTATGGTTTCTGTCTGCTTTTGTTTGTCTCTATGTCTATTCTCTGCTGTCTCCTCTTCCTCCCTTCATAGCTCTATCTGTTTGTCTATAATATATCTCTTCACACTTTCTTATTCTTTTAAATTTATTTAATTTACCTTTATTCAGGTGTATGTATGTACATAGCAGTCATCTTTATCTCTCTATCTATATATCTATCTACTTATCTATATATCTATTTATCTTTTTAATATATTTTATTTACCTTCCTTCAGGTGTATATACATCGCAGTCATCTTTATCTCTGGTGAATTCGCACGTCCAGACCCTCACCATTTTCTCCACGCCGCTCGTAGCCAACATCGCTGGGCCCCACAAACCCAAAGGGCTCTCAGGAGAAGGGCTGCATGCATGCATGCAGCACCAGCAGCAGCAGATGAAAACGCAGCAGCAGCCGCAGCTGGGGAAGCAGCAGCAGCAGCAGTATCAACAGCTGGGGAAGCAGCAGGAGGAAGTGAGGAAGCAGCAGCAGCAGCAGCAGATGGGGAAGCAGCAGCAGCAGCTTCAGCTGGGTTTAGCACCACCAGCAGGAGCAGCAGCAGCAGCTGGGAAAGCTGCAGGGACAGCAGCTGGAAGCAGCAGCACCAGCAGAAGCGGCACCCGGAGCAGCTGGACGACGACAAGCAGCAGCAGCAGCTTGTGGAGCAACTGTTGCAGCTGGATCAGCAGAAGCAGCAGCTGGAGCAGCAGCAGCAGCACCACGGGGAGGAAAAGCAGCATCAACAGCAGCATTAGCATTAGAATAAATTAATAAAATAGCATTAACGCATCTATTTACCTAGCGCAGCAGTTTACTACACAAAGATGTCCCCTCAAACAAACGCGGCGAGGTAACGCCTGAGTAGTCAGAGGCTTCACGGGCAAAGGCCGAGGAAGCTGCCATATGTGCACCTGCAGCAGCAGCAGCAGCAGCAGCAGCAGCAGCAGCAAGAGCAGTAGTAATAGTAATAGTAATAGTAGTGGTGGTGAGGGTTTAGGTGAAGTGAAAGTCGATGCAGCTGCAGCAGCAGCAGCACGAGCAGCAGCAGCAGCAGCAGCAGGGGGAGCAGCATCAATAGTAGCGGCAATAGTAGTGGGTGTTGCAGCAGCAGCAGCAGCAGAGACAAAGCAGCTGCAGTTATCCGCCCGTGAGAACTGCTACAAAGATATATCCCATTTGCATGCAAAATGCATGCACATATGCATGCATGCATGCACATTTGCATGCATGCATGTACAACAGCATGGGCATCTGCATGCTCATTTGCATGCATGCACGCATGCATGCATTCATGGACATATCCATGCATGCAGATAGCCACGCAAGCAAGCATGCATGCATGCATGCATGCATGCAGATGTGGATGGAGATTTGCATGCATGCGTAGACACTAGGATTACCTGGAGGTCCTCAGAGCCGCATGCAACATGCTGCATATCAGTAAGGAAGCAGCCCCCCTTCATAGTTGTGGCGTTGGTATAGCCATCACTTTGGAGTTCAAACAAAGGCAGCTGCAGCAGCAATAGAGAAACAGATATAAAGATATTAATACAAAAACAATAAACAGCAGTAACAGACAGACAGAGATAAAGAGAGAAAAAGATAATAATTATAAACGGGAAAGATAGACAGATAACATTAGAGAGAGACACTCAAACCATAATAATAAAGACAATAAAGACAGCGACAAAACAACAACATGCATATAGATAAAGAGAGAGATAAAGAGAAAACAATATATATATATATATATATATACTCTACCTATATATATATATATATATGTTTGTCTGTCTCACCTCCCAGTCCGTACTATAAATGAGGGGTTCCTGTCTCCTTCGGATTGCCAGCAGGAGACGCCCATCCCAAGAGAAGACGATCTTATCAACCATTTGTACGAACGGCACATTAGCGAGTTTTGCTGCTCTGTGTCTCTGTCTCCTCTGCCCCCTCTGCCCAGGGACCTCCCTATAGGTAGGGAAGCGAATAGCTGGCAGCTGAGTAGCAACAGCCTCCGCTCGCAGCAGCGCCTCCCGTACCTCAGGAGACGATCCCACGCCTCCTACAGACCCCACACCCTCCTCCTCAACTAACCCCAATGGGGATCCATCCCGCGATTCACGGGATCGATCCCCCGAAACAGAACCAGACCGGGATCGGGATCGGGATCCACCTCCAGGAACAGACCCGGATCGATCCCGATCCCGATCCCGATCCCCTTCCCGATCCCAGCCGGAGCGGCGGCGCCCCTCACGAATGCGAGCAGCTGCACGTGGGGCCCCTTCACTTTCCTCATCCTGATGCGGAGATGCAGCCCCCGCTGCCTCCACGGGGCTACTGCTGCTGTTGCTGCTATTGCTGCTGCTGTTACTGCTGTTGCTACTGCGTCTCTGCCTCTCAGGAGCGCTCTGTGGGGCCCTCTCAGGGGCCCTGCTGTGGGATCCCCCCTCACCGTCGCCATCAGAAGCAGCAGCAGCAGCTGCTGCTGCTGCTGCTGCATGCGGTCTGGGGATTCCCAAAACCTGCAACACTGTCTCTCGCAGCGACTGCATTTCCTCCAGAGGCACCGAACGACGAAGACGGCGGCGCCTCTCAGGTGTCTCCTCTGCTTCTCCGTCCCCTGGGGGCCCCCTTCCTGCTGCTGCAGCTTCTGCTGCTGTTGCTGCTGCTGCTGCTTCTGGGGAGGCTGGGGATGGGGGGGAGGCCCGTCGAGAACGCCTTCCAGACGAGGAAGATCCTTGACCGCCCGCTGCAGTCTCCGGTGCACGCGCTCCTGCTGCTGCTGCTGTTGTTGCTGTTGCTGTTGCTGCAGCAGCAGAAGCAAGAGCAGCAGATACGGAAGGTGCTTCCCCACCTCCCTGTTGATGCATACCTGCAGTTAAGAGACACAGAGCAATTATATTGTCTCTTCTTGCAGCTCGCTGCCGCTCTTCTTCTAATCGAGATTCCGAGGGGTCGCTCTGCTGCTGCTCCTGCTGTTGTCGTTGCTGTTGCCGCTGCTGCTGTTGCTGCTGCGCGCCTCGAGGCAGCCTGCTGCCAGCTGCATGCCGCTGGAGAGCAGCGGCGCCCCCAACCACACGATGGGTCTGTGGGTGCTGCTCTTCAGCCTCAACACCTCGCCGTGAAGCAGCAGCAGCACCAGAAGCAGCGGCTGCTGCTGCCTCTCTTTCTGCTACTGCTGCCTCCGTTTCTGCTGCTGCCGCCGCTGCCGCGTGTTGCAGTCGGGTCCTTGGCTCTCTATGCGGAGACGCCGCAGGTTTCACAGTGCTGCTGCTGCTGCTGCTGCGGCCGTCATTGCTACTAGTGCTTCTGTTACTAGATGTTGCGGGGTTGCTGCTGCTGCTGCTGCTGCTGCTTCTGTAACGGATGCAGCGGCGTTTGCCGCTGTTTGTTGGAGAAGACGTTTCGCCTTTCGTAGGCACGAATTCGTGGCCAGGCGATCTGCTGCTGCTGCTGCTGCTACTGCTGCTGCTGCTGCTGCTGCTTTTGCTTTCCCGTCTGCTGCTGCCCTCTCGTTTGTGCGTTGTTTTGTTCTCTGCTGCTTCATCTGCAGCAGCAGCGGCATGTGGAGATAATTTCGGGACACCACCTCGCCCGCGCCGCAGCAATCTGCCGGTGAGGCTTTTGCTGCTGCTGCTTCTGCTGCTGCTGTTGCTGCTTCTGCGGCTGCTGCTACCGCTACTGCGGTTCGGTTCTCTCTCCACGCGGGTATCTGAAGCGTGCTGCTTGCTGCTATCGCTGTTGCTGTCGCTGCTGCTGCCGTTGGTGTCAATGCCTCTGGCCCTGCTGCTGCTTCTGCCTCTGCTGCTGCCTCCGTCTCTCCTCATGTTGCTGCTATTGCTGCGGCTGCGGCTGCGGCTGCTGCTGCTGCGGCTGCGGCTGCTGCTGCTGCTGCGGGTGAACCTCCGTCTCGGCGTGGTTAGACACTTTGACTGCGAAGCAGATGCAGCAGCAGCAGCAGCTGCAGCAGCAGATACTGGTGAGCCGGATGCATCTTCCTCCTCTTCTCTTTCCCCACGTTCAGAGGGTCTGCCGCTGCGGCGTGGCTGCTGCTGCGCTCGCAGCAGCAAACGCGAGCGAGAGGGAGGGACCCACACCTCTTCGTCTCCTTGCATGCTGCTGTCGCTGCTGTTGCTGCTCTCGCTGCTGCTGCTTCTTCTAATACTGCTGTTGCTGCTGCTGCTGCAGATCATGCGGTGTCTCGCGGTATCGAAAGTTCCACTACTGCTGTCACTGCCGCTGCTGTCGCCACCGTCGCTGCTGTTGCTGCTGCCTCTGCTGCTGTTGCTGCTGCTGCGGCGGCTGCTGTTGCTGCTGCGGCGGCTGCTGCTGCTGTGGCGGCGGGACTGCCAAAGCACCTGCCTCGTATCTTCTTCTTCTTCTTCTCCAACGATCCCAGGGACCCTCAGTCTCAAGAAGGGTTTCGCGGTGCGCAGATCCTGCAGCAGCAGCAGCAGCAGCAGCAGCACGGGCACCTCTGCATACAGTGCATATCTAAGAGAGCATATATTAACTATTCCTATGCATCTGGGATCTATTTATATTTATCTTGATAAAAAAAGCAAACAAGACATATAATTCTTTCATCGCTAATCTGCAGCTTCTCTCCGTTTCTGCTGCCGTTTTTTTTTTCTAAGCTATGCGCCGTCTGTCTGACCCCAACAAAACCCCAAAAAGAGGCAGCAGCAAAAGAGACAGCAGCAAACGAGACAGCAGCAAAATAGACAGCAGCAAAAAGAGACAGCAGCAAAAAGGGAGAGCAGCAAAAAGAAAAAGCAGCAAAGTAGACAACAACCCAGAGTGCCGCAGAGCCAAGCAACCGTCGGCAACCGCCAACGCACGTTCAAGACGCACAAGGGCATACAAATTAGGATTTAGGGTTTAGAGCTTAGGGTTAAGGGTTTAGGGTTTGTCTCACAAGGATCCCCGCCCCACAACTGCCTGCATAAGCGAGGTGATAAGGCAAAGGGATGTGCGGGTCTACGCTGGTGAAGTCGCCGGTATTCCGCATAATTGCATGCGTCACTTGAGGCCTCTCTCTGCTCGCAGAAACCCCAAAAACATACAGAACCCCACACTCCCAGCTGTCCAGACACCCCAGAAACACCAAACCACACAACACAGAAAAAACGCAGCAGCACCTGCAACAGCAACTCCGAATTGCAGGAGCAGCACCTGCACCTGCAGCAGCAGCAATAGCGGCTGCTGTTGCAGTGAGAGCAGCAACAGCTGCTTTTGATGCATCGGGAGCAGCAGCAGGCAGCAGTAGCTTCAAACTTTAACAGCATCAGCATAAGCTGCACTTGCAGCAGCAGCCGCTGCTGCTGCTGCTGCAGCGGGAGCAGCAGCGAGGAGGTGCTGCATGCGCCGCCCCGAGCAACAGTTACCAGCACCAGGAGAGATTCAAACAGAGAGAAAAAAGACATTTACTCACCTGAAATCTGCAAGCGCCACAAAGCCCGACTCAAGAGCAGCAGCAGCAATGTGGCCCGCAGTATCGATGAACTTCGCCTCAAAGCATGCGCGGGTCCTTGATCTGGGAAAGAGAATAAGGCCTTCATCTGCTGCTACAAGAATATCCAAGTTGCTTCTCACTGCAGCAGCAGCAGCCGCTGCTGCTGCTGCTGCTGTTCCACCCTGCTCCCCAGCAGCAGCAGGCGTCGTCGCTGTAGGTGCATCTGCGTCTGCATCTGGTGTTGCGGGTGCAGCAGCAGCACCACCACCACCATCAGCCGTCTCGCTGCTCTCAGAAGCAGCACCAGACAGCCCTGTCCTTGCATGCGGATGCGTCAGAGGCAAAGACAAAGAACTCATTCGCTCTACAAGAGGCGCATGCAGCCTTCCATAAATAGAATAAAAGTTTCGACATTCTGATGCACCTCCAGCAGAAGCCTCCAAAGATATGCGCGTCACCAGGCCGTCATTTGCTGCTGTCAGTGCGCGGCTACCCAGCGCTGCAGCAGCAGTAGCAACACAAACAGCAGCAGCCGCAGCAGAAACGGCAATCGCAGCAACAGCACCAGCAGCAACAGCAATGGTTAAAAACCCAACAAGGAGCATATAAAGCCCAAACTCAAAGAGCCCCAACCTAAGGCCACTAACTATAGAGGACAGCCAGTAGGTGTACGTACAGCTGTGCCACCGCCAGACGAAACAACTAAAAAAATAGATGCATGCAAAGCTGTAAGCAATACCCTGATGCATGCAGCGGGGTCAGCCACATGCGTTCGTATGACTTTTTGGGGTGTACAGACATAACAGCACGTTCATGATGTACACGCATCAATCGTCAGGTGTATCTGCAGCTTTCAATACACTAACTCTACGGGTGTAGAAAGCTAGTCCCTATACAGCAACAGGGTGTGCACATTATATATATATATATATATATGCATATAAACATAGATATAGTATATAAGGTCGGTAGTGTAGAGTTGCAGGTAGCGGTGGTTTGATGCGCGTACTGTCGAAGTCGATGCAGAAAATATTGTCTGTGTGCTCTGTTCTAATCTCCGCTTTGGGGATCCGCGGCCAGACGCGAGGCTCCCAAATAAGAAGGCGGAGATCGTCTCCTCCACTGAAGAGCCACTGTTGTGTGGGGTGGAATCTGTGGTGTACGTACGCCCCAAATAACGCATGTACAGCTGCAAACCACTTATTATGCACTGCACAAATCTAATCTACAAGCATTTCATAGGATATACGAAGATAATATTCACTAAGAGGAGACAACAGAAAAACACAAAAAAGAACGCCAGAAAATCCAAGTGGAGATGGTGACGTACACACAAACACAAACAAAACAAACAAGAACAAAACAAAGCAGAACAAAATAAAACAAAACAGAACAACATATAAAAACGCTGATATTCCAAACACAAGACACCAGCGCGGCCAACAGCAGGCAGCAAGCCAACAGAGCCGCGTGTGCATTCCTTTCAGATGCAACCAATGAAGGAAAGAACGAAGAAATAAAGACGAGCAAAACCCAGGTCTATTTTAAATGTACACCGCTGTGCTTCCAACTGTATTCCGTGTTCAGAATGCTGTGCATACACTGCACTCACTTGATTGCATTTACGCAGCCTTCATGGCCTCTGTATCGGTATGCCGTTCTAAAGAAACCCGGCTTCGCGACATTTACCCGCTGAGAGCGGGCCCTCCAAAGGCTATTTGCAGCACAGAGGCGGCTGCGGATCGAGTTCCTGCTGCTGCTGCTGCTGCTGCTGCTGCTGAGATACCGCTTAATACCCAAGTCGAAGCCGAGTTTGCTGCCGCCCCACGGGCCCCTCTCCCGATTCTGCAGATGCGACGCTGCAGCACTTGCAGCACACCCGCTGTCTCCATAGGTTGGGTCCTGCTCCTTCTTAAACTTAGGTGAAATAAGTGGCTTCTGCCTGACTGAGGGAGGGGGGCCCCAAAGGGCCCCTTCTGCGCCTGAGGGCTCGCCGGCAATCCAGGAACTCGAGGGGCCCCCTTCCATCTCCTCTCGAGTATGCCGAGCGTCAGATGGGGGTGGCGGTGGCCACCAGGGGAGTCAATCTCGAGCGGTAGGTGGGTGCTGCTGCAGGAAAAAGGGTTAGGCCTGCTGCGACGTTTTCTTGCTGTGTTGAGGCCCTTGTGGTAAGGCTAAAGTGTATACGGAGACGAAATGCCGGGTTACAGGAGAAGACACAGTTGAAACAACTCGTGGGTTTCGCTTGACGCCGAGCCTGAGTGGTCTGTGCGGCTGCGGTTTGTGGTGCAGAGAGGCGCAGCATACGCACAGTCGGCTTCAGGCGGAAGGGCCTGCAAGAAAGAAAACCTGAAATTGCATTACAAGGAGTAATAATTCAACGAAGAAGAGCTCCAGGCACAGGAAGACCACCCCGCCCTGCCGCGCTGGACACGGAAAGCCAGGGGAAGTGCAGGTGTAGTCCCAGCAACTGCATGAGTTTCAGCAGAAAAACAAAAATATAACCTCAGATGAGTCTATTGCAGCGACCCAATGGCGACGGCTAGGCAGAAAAGCTGCTATAAATGCTGCTTTACACAAGAACACAGGCGGATCGCGCCCTATCGAGTTTCACGGTGCATGCATTCCCGGGGCCGTCAGACTGAGGATTGACGGGAATAAATTATTCAGTTAAGGATTAAACCTCTGAAATATGAATACACAGGTTTCCGTATTGGCATATTCAATGCGCCCAGGACGTCCTGAGAAAAGCTGCATATACACCCGAACCCTCACGCATCACGATGCTCTGAAAATGCACTCCAGTGTGCCATTCGCCGCCTCCTGCACATCGCGGTTGAATGTTCGTTGCTTGTCTGCAGAAGTTGAAAAGGGCATACCGCAACTACAACAGTGTGTAGGGAGCGAACTGTTCTCTGCATTGTGTACAAGCATCACGCGTCTGCGTCTTGCAGGAGCCATACATGTGTGCTGAATGAGAATTCAGGTTTCTGAAGAGCGCAGTTAACTCTCCAGTACGACGGCATACTGCATGCAGGCAAAGAGGGAATACCTTTGCTGACGGGCTACCGGCTCAGAGCACCCGAAATGCAACCAAAAGTTGTTACGGATTCAAAGACAGACTGCTGCTCCACATCTGCATATTTAGGGTTGTTTATTATATACAGTGGTGTATGGTCGTACAGATATTTGTATGCGTATATGGATGGATGAGTCTCACACCATAATATATATATATATATATATATATGGCACGAGGTGGTTTTCGTATCTTAGCTAGTCAAACTGCTCTGCAGGAGAGAGGGTGTGAACCAGAGAGAAAACATTCCAAAGCCGTCAATACTGCAACTGCGCTCCTACCTCTTCATTTTCATTCTCATTGGCTCTCCCTGCTCTGTTATCTCCGCCCCCCACTAAAACGAATTAATTATTTAGTCGAACGAAAGTATCCAACAGCAATTCCTCCACCAAGAATAAGCTAGCGGCCTTCAGAACATTCTGACTGATCCTCATGCTACTGTCTTACATGTGCCCTCCTCTAAAGGTATATATATATACATATATATATATGTGGATATATGCATACTTACATATATACATATATCTATGTATACTTATTTATTTATTTATTTATCCACGCATCGCTGTTGCATCTTGTATGCATGCAGAAACGGAAACCAAGTCCCGCAAGGGGCTCTTGCAAAATGCAAACATGAGTTCACTGGATGCGACAAAAAAAGCAGATATGCTGGAATAATGGAGAGTACAGCAAAATGCAGGCGTAACGGTGGCAGCTTGGTGCTTCCGCTCAGCAGCAAAGCTTCAATGTTGGATGGTGTAGCTTCCTGAAGCCCCTATATGTTCTACCCTGCTGCAGATCGTACGGGTGCAGACGCTAGCTAGCCAGCTAACTATCTGCTGGCCAGAGAACCCGCCTAGTGCAGCCATGTGCAGAGTGTAAGAGAGACTGCTGCGCCAAAATGCTCTCATATAGAGTTATCCTATTGCCGCCGTTTGGTGCTTAAGGACGGCGCATGGAAGTAAACAAAGTATCCACAAACATTTCTAACATTTTCAGTCATCAAGGAGAACAACAGCTCTAGGAATTCAAACTGATGTGAAGAAGAAAACCAAGTTCTTTCAAAAATGTTCTTGGAATGAACCCTCAGTAAATTCTGACTGAGGCAATTGAAGCAGCGTGCGTTTTTTAGGCGGGTGATCAAATGCTGGGATATAAAGGAGGATGTAGTTGCATTCAGAGCTGCACTTCTGGGGCACCACCATGATAGTAATGCATCATTTGAGCCTATTAATACACGCATATATGTATTTATGCTAATATTTACGTATGGTGTGTTGAGGCGTCTTTTACGGAAACGTTTTGAACTAGTTCAAGGAGGCCTTTGGCTTACTTGCAGAGAAAACAAACAAAAAGAATACTGGGTTTTAGTTGGTGAACGCAAATTTCATGAGGGCAATTGGCATTGTTTGTGGAACGTGCGAACCATCAAAAGTTGAACGATGCGGACGCGTCCAGAAATGTCTGATTTCCAGGCAGGATTAGGTTATTCTTTCACTCTAAATGAAGTAGTAATGACAAAGTGTGAGATATTCCTTCATTTAAAATGAAGTAATGACACGCAATATTCGAAAACGCACGCATTGAGCCGTCGATTACAAACCGGACTGCGAGCTGTGGCGGGCTGCGAGGGCCCCCTTCCTTCTCTCAAAGTTCCCACGCCAGGAAGCCATCAAGTTTGGTATTTATTTCAATAATGCGATATAATTGATACGCGTTACATAAATGACTATTACGGACGGTTGTCAGTGGTCTGCGGGCGGCTCGGGTTTCATCTCGTGGCTCGGTTTCACGTTGTTTTTTTTTTCTGCGCGCTGTACAGCTTCAAACGCGAAACTGAGACGTAAATGATCGCGTAACGCAGTCTGTCAGAGGCTGGGATCGCTTCTCGCCATCGAGACACCCGGGAGAAGCCACTATGTCCTTTCGTGATTGCATCACTCGACAGGCCGCAGCAGTATGCAAAGAATCCACTGACGAAGCTCGTGAGACGCAGGCAGCGCCTTTCCCCCAGAGTCCTTTAGTTTCCTGTCAGGAGGACGTCTTCCATAGCCCCCGAAGTGTCGTAGGAACAACTGAAACAGCGCCAGAGGGTCCCCCCGCCTCTGCCGTTGCTTCTCCAGGGTCTGTCGGCTGCTCTTGCGATCATGGAGAAGGGAAAGCGGCTCATGAATTGCCTAAAGGCATCACAGCAGCAGCCCCGCAGAACGCATGCATTGACGGAGTCCGTCTGCAAACTTCAGCCCGCTCTTCTGCTGCCTCTGTGCGAAGTGGAGGCTGCGGAAGAAGCAAATTCAGCCACCGCATAATCAACGCCTCCGCCCCCATCACCTTCACCAAGACCTTCTACTCGTCTGCGCAGTGGGGCCAGTACACACGCAACCCCCAGGGCTACTTGAACGCTGAAGCTGTCCGGGCTGCTGCTGCTGCAGCAGAAGCAGGAGAGAGTTTCTCCCCTCCTGGACCTTCAGCAGAGACTGAAATATCGCCGCAGAACAATCACTTCGAAGGAAGGTACGAGGGGAGAACCGATAGTGTACGCACGGCCCAAGAGGCACCAAAGAGGGCGACCGAGACGTACAGAAGTGACATAACGGGGTCCTTTGTAATGCAGCACAACTCCACACAAGCCATGAGGAGCACAGGGAGCAGCAATAACTCCAAGAGGGAAACAAGGAGGGATATCCTGCAGAGAGCTTCTTCTCTGGGGCAGAGCAGCAGGCCTGCTGCTGGTTCGCGCCCGTTGCTGGGGTCTTGGCTTTTTGGGGGCTCCAGGAATTCAACAGAACTTGAACGACTTGTTGAGGAAGAAAATGATATTGTGAAAACTGCAGCAGCAAGAAGCGAACTAGCCGCTACAAAGCTGCTGCAAGAGGACATGGAGGCGATGATAGCCAATTTGCAGCAGGTAATATGCACTTTGTGCTGCCGTTGCAGACCCACCGTACGCAAGTTCTTCCTTGTATTTGAAGGGATAGGCACTTGCAGGGACCTTGTTGCAGCCACTGGCGACTGCTACATGCATGCGTATTTTGATCTAGGTGAGCAGCAACTGTTGCATGCGTGCGTTCAATTAGGTGAAAACTTTTCTTGTAGACAAGCTGCGAGAGTGCGAAACGGCTCTGCTCACTACAGCTCAAGAAAGAGATGACTTAGAAGCCACTTTGCAGCAAATTCAAAGTGGCATTCAAGACAGCGTTGCAGAAAACAGACGACAAGCTGAGGAGTGCAAAGAAAAACTCGCCGACAAAGAGGTGAGGCCAAGACCGCCCTAGGGTGTGGGGTTTCCTGGGGTGTACGGTGTAGGGCTATTGAGGCTTAGGGCGTAAGTGCTAATTCACTGTTTCTCTTCCTTCTCGTCCTTCAAGAGCCTGTGTGGAACTGTGGTCGGTCTACGGCCTCTGGCACAGCGAGGCGGCGCCAAGGGATGTGGGTGTTTCATGGTTGGGGGTAAGGGTTTAGGGTTTGAGGTCTGCTTTGCTTTGCGTTTTCTGTTTCTACAGCGTGAGGTGGAGGAGATGAGGATGAAGCTGGAACAGGCGACCGCTGAGGCATCGAGTTTGCGAAAAGAAAACGAAATACTGAAGGCAGAAATCAACGTGGCGCGCGTTGAAGCAGCGGTGAGACCGCAGACAGGTAGCACCCCAGCAGGCTCAAGCACAGGTACCCGTATGAAGTAGTTAGCTAGTTAGCTAGCTAGCTAGCCAGATAAGTAGGTAGTTACCCTGCGAGCTTAGAAGGTCTTGAAGCGAGCTAGTTAGCCCCAAGAACCCACGAGCTGTCTGACCGTGCCAGCGAACTGTTTAGGAAGCCAATAGGACTTGCATTGGCAGTTTGCTCTGCTGATTTTGCTGCTACTTTTTGGGGGTTTCAGGATGTGGCTGCTGCTGACGGTTTTCGTATTGAAGAGTATCGGCTGGCCCTTCAGATCCTGATGGAGCGAAGCAAAGTGGGCAAGAAAACATATAGCAACTTTCTGCAACCTTTCCTCTCTTTGTCACGATTCTGATTTAGCAAGCTGTCTGGACAACTGAGTCTGCATCGGATGGACTTTGATTGTTTTGGGGGCCTCCTTTCTTTCTCTTGGAGGCATCGCCCCTGAGAAGGCTCGTAGAGTCGCCTGCTCGTATCATTTTGTGGCTAAGGTTTGAGGGTTTTAGTTCTCTGGACGTCGTGCTTGTAGCTGTAGACGCAGCATGTATTATCTCTCTCTCAGGCAGGGGGGTGTGTTCAGGCGTTTAGGGGCCCTCGTGAGGTGCTGTTGTTTGTTGCTGCGGCGTCTATGCTTCTGGCGTCACAGGCCCAGCGGCGGGAGGTGAAGCGGCTTAGAGGGCAGCTGATTAAAACGCGGGAGGAGTATGCAAGCGCGTTGGCCAGAATAGACGAACTGGAGGCTTTCGAGGAATTCAGGGAGTCGCAGATACACCCAGGCGAGACGGCAGCTGATGTCAATCAAGCAGCATCCCCCAGGAGTAGCCACAGTGGTGGGGGCCCGCACTTTAACGCCGAGAGCCCTGGGGCCCCCCAAGGCAGCAGCGGAGCACCACCAGATGAGTGGCAGGCCCCCGCTTCGAGGCAGCACCCGAGAGAGACCCAGGCAGATGAGGGGCCAGAGAGGAGTTCATGCGACTGCGATGCAGCAAGCACTGCTGGGTTCCTTGGGGGCAGGAGATCAGAAGGCGCAGGTGAAAACCTGCTCGGCCATACAGGAACGAGCAGCGGCAGCCAAGCGCATGCAGACAGTCTCCGAGGACCGGGCTTAGGGAAGAGCGTGACGGGCTTGTTAGCCTCTGGAGTGTCCCAGCTGCTGCAGCGCATCGAGCATACCATCTCAGCGGACCGCGATCCCCCCGAGCTCTCTACGGACCCCGAGTCCCAAGCTAGTGCGGACTCAACACCCCCAGAAGAAGAACGAGGGCTGCACGAAGAAGCTGCGCTTTTTCTGCAGCGCACCAGTGGCACCAGCAGCGACCTGATCGTACACCTGGAAGGCCAGCAACAGTCGGAGCCGGAGGGAGGAGAGGAGGAAGTTTTGAGTCCGAGTGCGGCAGATTCAAGATCTCTCGGAAACGTGGCGCGCAGCATGTGGCAGGCGGCTCATGAGCTGCTTGCAGACAGGGCACTGCCTCCAGCCCGCCTTTCTACTTTGCGAACGGTTGCAGCGGGGAACCCGTCGGCTTGGGAGGTGCTTCGTGAGCGGCATCGCGCAGCCAAGTCGATGCCACTTTTTAGCAGCATCCCTCCTGCTGCTTATCCGTTGATAGCACAGGCTAGAGATCAGCAACCATCAGGCAGGCAAGGAACAGTCGCCTCCGGGTCAACGCGGACCGCTGCACTCGCATCACGCCGCAGGAGCAATCCAGTGGCCGCCGGTGCAGGTGCCCGTACTAACGCGCGCCCTTTGGGGAGGGTCGAACGCGGGCGGCGCGAGGGAACCCCACACGGTTGCATGACAGTCGAGCTGCCGTCTGAGTTGCCCCCATGCACCTCAGACGCCCCCTCTAGTGACGTCGGGGAGGCTGAGGAACGCAGAAGTGAGCGTAGGGAGATGAAGGCTCCACTTCCAGCGGATGAAACGGACGCGCAGAACCCAACTGCAACCGAGCAGGGCACTGCTGCAGCAGCAGCAGAACCGAAAATACCGCAGACAACGAGCGCTTCCGACGGGCCAGAACAACCAGTTGGAATATCGGACTGTCGTGACACTCCCGAGGCAGAACCCGAGCATGCCGGCGTTCATTCCGAAGTCGCTGATGCTGCAGCAGAGGGTGAGCCGTTGCAGGAGAGCGGGGTGTGAGAAGTTGCAGCAGTTCCTCCGGGACAGACGAACGCCATTTCCGACTTGGGGACTTCTGGACGTCGTTGCAGAAGCTATGTGTTGCCCACTACATGGTCTTTCTGTGCTCTGGAATGCTTCCTTTTGGGGGGGTTGGACGTAGCAGCATCCGGAGAAGTTCCGGTAATGCAGCCATTCGCAGCGTTCCGCGTATTGTTTCCTGGTGTGTGTGTGGCCCCTGTAGTATAATTGTCTGCAGGTGCATGTAGTTAAATTCACACTGCGCCGCGGACTTTCCCCCATCAGCCAATGCTAGAGGCCATTTTAAGGGTTACGGAGAGTTGTTTTCTGCATCTAAATGGGAAGCTACTCTACGCCTGTACCCGGCAGCCAGCCCATACGACATGGCACCGCCAACTAAGGGTAGCCAGGCCACGCGATGCAGCAGCGAGGGCGAAGCAATGCACGTGCATCAGCCTTCATACTTGCAAGCCGCCTGGGCAACACCTGCATATATTTTGTAAATGCTTTGTATTCATTTGCGCATCGAATGCTTTCTACGAATAGTGCCTCCACGAACAGTAGCCGCAAGCAAGCATTGCTCTACTGTTTAACGTCTAAATGCCTCATCGCTTTCTGCTGATTCTGAGGGTAGGCCAGCTTGAGGCCCGAACTAATGGAAGCGCAGAGTAAAGTGCAACAACCAAATGACACTGTTCTTTCACAACGCAGCCAGCTTCCCGTCTGCTCTCCCGACTCCCCTAAAATTCCGACCAACCTCAGGCGAGCTGAGGCTGCGGATTTCCCCTATTAAGCAGAGTTGATGAGCGGGCGCTAAAGTGTACAACCTTCGCTTTGTGCGCAAATGCATGCATTGACATGTGTGGGGATGGCACCCGCGGATTACTGGCGAGGCACGCGGTACACTCAGCAGGCCCCAATGCAGAAGTGCTGTTTCCTAGAGAAAACGCAAGCGCTCAGCAAGCCTGATTCAACGGGTTCTCTGGCGCTTTCTTCCACTGAAAAAACACAGAAACATACGACCAAACTGCATATAGCTGATCCGACACTAGACCCTCTCACCACGCCAAACGCGACCCCTTCGTCCATCCCTGCCCCGCAACTTCGTGCATCAAACCTCGGTCAGAAGGCATACCTGTTTTGAAAGCAACTCTAGCAACTGCGAACGTTTGAGCGTTGGGTTCTCGGCTTTCAGCCTCGGCATCATCTGCTCCTCGTATGCCCTGTAGGCCTGACGCAACAGCAGCGGAGAAGTGCAGCACAAACAATTTAAATGGGAATACAACTCGCCACCAGTGTGACGCACAAACTCGCGTGCGCCTGTGTTCTGTGTCTGTCTGCCTTATTCTGTTGCTTCTGCTTCCAAGTAGCCGTAGACGCCAACAGATGCAGATAGATGCAAAGAACGGGTCTACAGCTACGGGCAAGCTGAACACGGACTGCTCTCATTCGCCTCTCCGGGTGCCTGTCCTCCGCAGGCGAGTCCGCAACCGCCAGCTGGCTCAGAGCATCGTCAAGATTTGAAGCTGAATCATAGAGGCACAGAAGCAGCAGACTGGGCCTACTGCAGCAAATGCGTCCTTAGAGGCATCCTCCTGCATGATCCTGATAGGGTTTACAGCTTTAACGTGTCGGGATTTAAAGGAGCTGCCCCAAGTCACTCTGACTATGAATGAGCTTACATAAAGACTGTTGCACTCTACAAATGTAGTACTACTATACTAAACAAGGATTGTGCTGCCTTGGAGGTTGTGCTACCGACTCAGCTCGGCGTTTTTTGTTCGGCTCTGCATTACTGAAAAGACTATTAGACTCATTTAATTGTGCATGCAGCAAGTCCTTACCAGACACGATGTCTCTGCCTTCCAGCTGGGCCTGCAGAGTTTCCGCCCTCATGATGTGGTTGATGTTCGGCTCAAGCCGCGCCAGAGAGCCATCATCCTGCACCGTGGCAGCAGAGCAGAGCAGACTACGGTTTAGGGTGTAGGGTTTAGAGGAAGCGGTCTGCTAGTTCTCGTATCAAGCGCGTCCATACAAGTAGAGCCTACCGAAGGTGATGAAGCCTCTTTCTCCATCGCTGCAGCTTTCAACTGCCGCTGTAAGATCTGCGCCCGCGTGAGCTTCGTCGGGGACTGGTTCTGCAGCAGTTCAAAGCGCAACAGCAGCAGCTCCTAGAAATGCAGCATACTCTACCTATTCCCGGTTTGGTCGTTCTCCAATCATTCGGTCGTATAAGTTTGTGCCCATTAGCTGCACCTTCTTCGTTGAGTTCCCCGCGAGAGCCTTCATTTCCTCTTCTGCCAATTTCCTAAGTTCCAACTTTCGTTGCATACGCTCCTCGGCTTTTGCTTGGGTCTCTGCCTGAGGCAAAAAGAGATAAATCACGTATACTCCTGCTGGATTCTCCGCCGCGTAGAGGGAGAAATAGCCTAAAATTCTTCATCAATGATGAACAAATAGGATCAACAGATTCAACGCATGCACGCACTTTCCTGTCCAGCTTGCGAGAGACCAGTTTATCGTTGTCTTCCCATTTCTTCCGTTCAGCTTCCTGCTCTGCTGCTGCCGCTTTTGCTGCTGCTGCCGCCGCCTTGCGCTCCCGCGCCTCAACAGCACGTTGGTTGACACGGACTGGCATCGTATCTGTTTACGAAATTCAGACGGATGGAATACCAAACAGATGCAGCTGTCGCGACACTTGGAGGCGTGGCGGGGTTCACTGAAACGCCCACCCAACAGCGGAGCTGCAACGCCGGAAACTACCCTGGGGCTCCGAGCATGCTACAGCTCCTGCTGCACCAGCTGGAAGCGAAGGAAAGGAGTTGGCTGCAGCGACCACAAACAGCCCACACGCTTCACACATACACTATTGGTCAAAGGAGTTGTGACGGTGATAATACAAGGGGGCATTGGTAGATCTGCTTCGCGTACAAGAAGGAACACCTCTTACTCCAGCAGCAGGAGATGTAGCTGTCTCAGCGCTCAAAATCTTTCTGCGAGGGCAGCCCTGCTGGCTGCCAACGGCGAAGCAGATGGTATGTGGCGAAACCAATAGGAAGGCCTTGACCACGGCAGACGACGAAATTTCTAAACGGCATCCAGACGTAGCATTATTTGAGCCTTTAACACGGTTATTCATACAGAAAGATCAAAAATACACTTCAGATGAGGGTACATTCAACTAAAAAACATCGGGAAATCCAACAAGCGGCTACCCGTAACGTCCAGGTCCAACGGGAAGCGTGGCAAGAAACCACGCATTAACGGAAGGCAGAAAAGGCGAAAGCCCGAATAATTCAAAAAAATGGATGAAGTGCTAGAAAGAACTTCAGTGTTGTTGGGTTTCGCCACTAGCGAAGAACTCGGTAATGCGGCGCCGTAGTTGGGGCTGGCGGCCGCCGTGCTGGGCCCCGTCACAAACAGTTAAAAGCATCTGTGGAGCGGTGTAAAGTCTTCTTGAGATGCGTTGCAAATTCACATAAGCACGGTAGAAGAGCGTAGGGTCTGCCCCACGCGTAACAGTGCTCTGCCATGCAGGTGCATGTTCATTTCAATTACATTTATTCGTACGTTTTATTCCTCTAATCAGGACGGAAAAGAACTCAGCATACATCACCTCGTCACCAATGTCTTTCCAACTGCTGCTTCAGGCTCCTCGGTGTAGAGATCCAGACCAGTTCTGTTGGATTTTGCGTCTGAAGGTGGTACTTGTGTAGCTGACCTCCCCTCCCGTCTCCAGGTGTCCTCTGCCCAGGCGTTCAAGGGGGTTGCGGCTGATGATGCAGAGAGGATACGACATCTCGTGAGTTGCAGCACACTGTTCTGCAACTCCCGCTGCAAGGCAACCCAGCATGCATACAAAATGCCCAAGCTTACTGTGCTGCATGCAACGAACGCTGTAGGCAGCTGTTTAACATTTATTTAGCCCGCAGTAGCCAGCGTGCACGCAAGTACACGTACGAACTTAAGACAGACCAAGCTGCATGAACCGCTGAACGCGCTCTCTCATTCGGCGACAAGGCCACGCCTGTGCCGAAGTATGGATGCTAGGTGCTCGCGTTTACCAAAACGTGGCCATAGAAGTTTTCCAGAACGTTTAGACACCCTAATCAGAATGAAGCTCTGTCCTGGGGATAGAATATGAGGTAGCGTGGCGACGCTCCTGGTGATCCTCGCCAGACACAGGCTGTTAGTGGCTCTGTGTCTGAATAGCAGGGACAGGGTAATTCTCGTAGTACACAAATATAACATATGTATATATATATATATATATATATATATGCATGTGTTATATTGGGTCTTCCGAACATTTTCGCAGCATGGGCCATGCTTCGGCTAGAGCCGTTTTCAGAAGTTTGTTTCTGGCTCCAGAAGTTTCCTCCTTCCATATCGATACTATTTGAGTGTACAGCTTGGCTTCGAAAGGCCGCTGCTTTGTGCAAAGGGGGCATACGACCATTCCCACTGAGCGTCAACTCATGGTGCCGCAGGATATTCCAGCTGTGTCGACATTTCTAATTCAAAATGTCCCATCCACACTAGACAGCCTGTTAGGCCCCACACTCTCTACACTCAAGACTAAGCTCAGAAGCGTCCGCATTGAAGAGGGTTATTACTTCAAGCGAGCGTTGAGTGTCTCACGTTGACGCTTTAGATCTAGGGTTTATTACGGTTAAGGTTTAGATCCACGTGCGTTGGGTATCTTTCTCAGCGCAGAAGCGAGTTTTTCTGTCGCTTCTCTGCGACGCTCTTCTAGGATATGCAAGCAGTACCAGCCGCGTGAGCTGCTGGGACCTACTAGTTGGGAACTGACACCAAGGTTTCCTGCTTTGGGAGCAGAAAGGCGCATAGTCAAGTAACGCCACCAGCAGCCTACACTTCGTTTCAGCATCTAGCCATCGGAAGATAAATAGTTGTTGTCAAAGAACAGATGCATAAGAAAAGACTCATCGAGTCTACGGACTGTCATGAATCAGATTATCTCGGCCAACAGGGGGATGTTCTTGCAGAGCTGGCATGGCATATCAACTGATATATGCCTTGGCACTAGACTGGGTGTAAATTACCTCGTGAACAAAATCCCCGAATGGAAGGAATGTGAGTGGAAATAGGCTCGCTAGCTTTCCGGTGGAACCCGCCTGAGCGGCCCTTCAAACGCAGCAGGCGGCTAAAGAAAGAACGGCTAAGTAGATAGTCTGAAATAACTCTTCAATTGCGACTTCCTCAACGCAAGGCCTGCCGCCTGTTGATGCAGGCAATATTGTGACTCTCATCAGTTGGATATCAGAAAAACCTTGGTGAGACATCCTCTCCATGACCTGCTACATTTTGAGGGTGTATTCCAGTCTAGTTTTACTGCTAGAATTGCCTTCAGGACGTTCGATATTGCCTTGGCCAGTGGCCGAGGCACATGCAAGAAAATTCAACTGGACTTTGTCTTTTTCAACTAAGGTTCTCGAACACACATGAACGATCAATGCCACAAGGCTGGAAATTCGCATGCATTGAGGCTGTAGTTGTTTATCGTCTGAACATTTCTGTGACGAGAATTTAAGACAGTTATCTCACACCCATGGTGCATTTAGCACTAATCAAATTCTGCGCTACATTGAATTATGCATCTTGCTCCTACAACTAATATCAATCGAAATACTATAAAAGTAACGAATAGCATTTCTTCTTTGTCTCTGTCACGGTAGTAGCGCATCCCATGGACACGCTCATGCGCTTGAATGCGTCTCTGTGCGTGATTTATCATAGTATGTCAAGACCAGTTCTACCATCAGTGTTCGAGGATGGCTTACTTTATAGGCGTCACGCTGCCCACTGGTAAATGCTGAGAGTACTTAGGAGGAGCAGCGTACACACTGCTCCCACTGGTATTTATTCTCTCCAAGCAGAACTTTGGCATGCTTTTCGTGTGGGGCAAATTAGTCGCCATTATTGCAGTACCCTCTATTTGAAGGAGGTGCCGTTTTAGTCGTATCTTTACTTTTTTTGTATGTTAGCTGCAGTTAGCAGCAGCAGCAACTGGTTCGCAAGAAGCAGGGCAAAGGCAAGACGGAACCAGTGCATGGAGAGTGTCTTAGAGCAAAGCAATCAACACAGCTGGTTGCTGAGTTGTGCTGCGGGAGAAGACACGTCCTTTGCTCATAGAATTGCATTCTAGACCGAAAGCCAGTGCAGCTGAAACAAAATGACGCCTATTGTTGGTGATGTAGAAAGGCAGATATCTGCAGGGACTTGCTGTGAGCTGTGCTGAAAGCTGTACTCAGCCGCTCAGCTGCAACGTGTTGTGATAGTCTGCAAACGGCGAAGGGACTGGTTTCTCTTCTGCCGTTGACGGACAGGCACACAGAGAAAGTAGTTTCGTTTAGGACGGTCCTCGTCCATCTCGCAGCCGGAGTAGGCCACCATGAAGGGATAAAGTTTCGTCTGCAGCATACGCAATGATTGCCGACGTGAGCTACCTAATGTTGGCAAGACTATAGAGAACCGAATTTTCTCACTTCACTCGTAACCTTCGAAAGACAGTTAGTTCAGGACAAGGTTGCCATAAGAAAGTCCAGTACTATCGCTGCTTCCTCGTAGCGATTGGCACTTTGCTGTGCGTTCTATGGACGAACTTTTGAGGAACAAGAAAAAAGCAGGAATTGGTGTCATCTGACCTTTTTGGCGCTGCCTGTAGCCACTGTCGCCGGAACGTTTGTCATCTTTTGCTGATACCTTTCGCCGCCCTTGCGGTGGATCGGAGATCTGCTTGCTGAGTGTCTATTTCCGCTTGCATTGCATATTTGCCAACCGAGCCATATAAGAGATCGTAAGCATACGACAATCACACAGCACAGAGGCATCAGCATCTACGATGCTTAGCAACAATGAGCTTAAAGGAATAGTTCGGAACTTGCTTTAAACGAAGTAGAGAAAAAATATTAGCAGAACAAAGCTGCTGCTGACGTAGTTGGAAGGACACTGCCGTTATCTAAATGCCCTAATTACTTAACACGCCTCATATAAATGACGCAAACACGATGTTCCACTTCCACTTCTACTACGCTCCACCCGGAACCCGAGAATCACCCGCGCTTCTCGTGGGAACCCAAGCATATAAGGCTCCGGCATTTTTTACTGCTGCTGCCCTTGTGAATGACGAAACGGCACCCTAAGGCAAAAGCGACACCACCCTCGATCCTGTGAACAACTCCGCCTTCGGTGCAGCCTCCACCGCCTTCTTGGGCAACACGCTCATGGACTTCTTCGGAAGCA